TTTTTTTTTATCTTTCAACTATCCCTTTAAGATGTCATCTCAACAGTCTGTTACACATATGTCATTTGGTGACAGTTGTGAAGACAGATTTATGTTAAAAATTTCGTTTAAAAGTTCTTCTTGTTTAGGTCATAGTAAAATAAATATGTGAAGAATGAAAACAAAAAACGTTCTCCTCTTCTTCAAGAAAAAGTACAAGTGGCTATTTTTGTTCTCTGTATTATTCATATTGTTACAAGACATATGTGAAGAAATATAAAAAAGACCCCACCTCTGTGATCCACCCTAAAAGTGCTTTAGCTAAAAACATTATGTGATCTTCACACTTCACAACTTATCTACATCCTGATAAGTTAAATATATAAATAACGACCACCATAACTGAAAATAAACATAACGGTGTCATGTGTGGGAAGATGGCACTTTAAGATATCATATGTCACTATGTGGTCCAAATGAGGAAGTGTGGGCCCTGCCAAATGCCACAGGAAAATCTGATTAAACATTCCATCTGATAGAAGTCTGTAGTTCTCAGGGTAAGTTACGATATGATTAAAATGTGTGGTGTAGAAGCTGTTGTCACATTTAAGAGTTAAATTATGGACTTTACACTCTAAAAAATGCTGGGTTGTTTCAACCCAGCTTTGGGTCAAATATGGTCTAACCCAACCGTTGGGTTAAATTTTTACATTCAATTTTTAACCCAAAAGTTGGGTTAGTCCATATTTGACCCAAAGTTGGGTTGAAACAACCCAGCATTTTTTAGAGGGTATAGTCCATTTCACTGCGCTCGTCTTCTTCGCCAGAACACACACAGGATGTGTAACCATAACAACAGTGGCAGTCCAGTAAAAGCAAATAACCAGACGGACACACAAATGGCCCGTCTTCTCCCTCTCTCTTCTTTCAACGTTTCAACGTGCTTTAGGACGCTATTGGTGTGCTTCACAGAGCAAACAGTGGCAGCTGTAATACAGCACAGTAAAGCCAGACCTGAAATTGCAATAATTGTAAGTGGCTTGTGATTACCTCATGTTTACTAATGCTCTTCTGTACTCTGACAGCTCTCCCTGGGTAGAAAAGAAGCTTATTTTATCAGCTCATACTGTACACCCTGCTCATTTTAAATGGGAGTTTCATTAAAAAGTCACATTTGTTCAACAGGTTTGCTTTGAAATCATTTTAGTCATGTGTGACTAACTTTAGGTAAAAATGCTGATGATTCTTAAAATAATATATAGCAAACACTGCAGTCAGACACACTTGGGGTTTTTTTATTGTTTTTTTTAGCTCCTCTAGACTTGTTACAAAAAATATATGGAAACACACAGTTCTCCAAACAGAGTCAGCAGTTTCGATGAGGAAGTAGATAGTTACAAAAGGCCACACATTAAATAACTTCTCAAACGGCCATTTGTCACTAACCTCTATATTTATGGTATACTATATTTATGGTTTTATCATACTTTTATATATTTAAAATTAAACTAAAACAGTTCATATCCATCCTTTTTGCCTTTTCCTTGAACAAAATATGCACTTTAAAGGGATAGTTCACCCAAAAGTGAAAATTCTGTCATTATACTCACCCTCAAGTTGTTTTAAACATGCATGAGTCTTGGTAACCAACCAGCTGACGGTAGCCATTAACGTCTATGGGAGGAAAAAAATACTATGGAAGTCAATGGCTACCGCCAACTGTTTGGTTACCAACATTCTTCAAAATATCTTCTTTTATGTTCCATAGAAGAAGGAAACACGACACAGGGTAAGTAAACGATGATAGATTTTCATTTTTGGGTGAACTATCCCCACCACAGACATCGAGTGGCACATGTAGCCCTGAAATTCAGATTAATAGTTAATCAACATGAGTTCTCAATGGTTAATTTGTAGATTATTACATCTGAATCCCCTGAATCTTGAATAGCTGGTAACATTTAGGAGCACAAATGAAAAGAAACCAAATGAGATGTTCATATAATGTGAAATTTAATTCAATAAACAGCAATGCATAGAAAAGCAATGAGAAAGCAGGTCTCACAAGCAACAAAGAAAAAAAAAAGGAAGTAGACAGCAACAATCAGTTTCCATGGGGTTACTATGGCAGCAAACCTAAAGTCAGACAATCAAAACTGGTGTGTTGTTCATTTCCTTCTACTTCGAGTCTCAGGATTGATGTGGAATTCATAATTTCTGAACTGATAGTATAAGCTATGACATAACTTTACTGTTTAACTCCTAGACTATAAATGTGTAAGCCATTGTTCAAAACAAAAGCCATGATTGAATTTGTTTCTGGTAAGTTAGCCGTCCACCCCATTCTATCAATGTTTAACAGACCATAGTGGTTTATAAAGTACTTTAACATTTCAACTGCTTACGAACCTGTTTCTAAACACAATGCACAGTGTTAGTGACAACCTGGATGTCTAATGTTTAACCTGCTTGTTGCAATACGTTTATGTTCACTGACTGCATAATGAATAGAAATGTCTTGTAGAAATGCCTTATCAAATTACCACAAAAATGGCCTGAACCATGCAATCGAGAATGTCAGTGGACTTGAATTTCACAGAACGGGTTCAATACAAATAAAGCTCAACTGATAGCATTTGTGGCATAATACTGATTCCCACAAAAGGTTAAACTTTTACAATGGAAGTAAATAGGCCATTTTTTTCAGAAGTAAAAACTTGCCTTAAAGGGATTTTCTGGTTTATATAAAAACTATTTAAAATCTCTTAAAACTTGCATTAAACAAATTTTCTGGTCTGAGGTCAATAGAGATAATCAACCGACAGCATTTAATAAAAAAAAATTAAAAAATGGCAAAAAGTTACAGAGGCACTTACAATGGAAGTGGGCCAATTCAGGAGCGAATCTTTCATAAAGCACTTTAAAATCTGTTAAAAAACTTGCCTTTTATGATCTGTTTAATACAAATAAAGTTCAGCCGACAGCATTATGGCATTATATTGATTACCACAAAGGAATTTCAGTTCGTTATGGTTAAAACCAAGGCAAAACTCAAGTGAGGCACTTACAATGGAAGTAAAAGCGCCAATTTGTTAAAAGTGAAACTTACATAAGGTACTTTAAAATGTTAAAACTTGCCTTAAAACAATTGTGATCTGCATTCAATACAAATAAAGCTCAATCAACAGAATTTATAACAATGCTGATAACATTGAGGCACTTACAATGGCAGTAAATGGGATCAGTTTTTTTTTTTAAGTATAAGCTTATAATTTAATAAAAGCACTTTAAAATCTTGTGTATAATTGGAGTTGTAAACTTATGTTCATTTTGAGGTTGATATACTGATGCTATACTGTTACCAGTACTGTTATACTGGTATACTGTTGCATATTTGAACATATATGGATTCACTTGCATTGCATCCCAGACGTTTGCTATAAAGAAAATGATGGATAATTGGATTTTTTTAATTTATTTTTATTTATTCATTCATTCGTTCATTCATTTATTTGATTTATTTATTTATGTATTTATTTTTTGTGGTAATCAACATGAAGCCACAATGAACTTGTACTAATTAACTGTCTAATGAACTTGTATTGAACCCGGAATAGTTCTTTAAGGAATACAATCAGGTTATAGGCGATATTCAGTTTGCAGGAAGTCCTAAGAGGGTTTCACGTTATCCACGTGGTTTCAGGGTTTCAAGGTGGGCTGTAAAGTCTCTTGCTGGGGCAAGGTTAAGATTGTGGAAATTGCTTTTCTGCTTCAAGTAGCATAAAGGGAATTGCACAACTCTCGCTCAGTGCAGACGTCCACAGCGTCATGGAAACGCATCTGGCTTTTATTCAGCCTGTGCAAGTTGCTGTCTAAGCCTGTCAAGGATTCGCCTGCCAAGAACAATATGAGGTCAGATCCCAAGCAAAGAGAGTGGA